AGCCAACTAATCTGAATTCGATAGGACAACGAATTCTCCATCGAATCATTACTAAATAAGCGACACCTTACCTTAAATTTGCTTACACGCTCGCTCCATCCAACCCGCGCCAAACTACGTAAACATCGACAGTCGAAGACTTCTGGTGCTTAGTGGCTGGACACCCTAGCAGTACCCGTCCACCAAACCCCAATGAATACACAAAATAAAAATAATCTCATGCTGCATCGGTCGCCGCGCAGAATAATCAGGACCGCGCTGCCCATTGCATCGAGCGGGGTGGGTAGTGATAAGTTGGCTACTGCTCAGATATCCTAACCTTTGTTTAATTCTTTGTCTTCAGCACCCAGCCCTCTCCATTTGCCCCTTCTTCCGATCTGCAATAGTCCCTCAAGCAATTTGGATGTCGCTCGCCAAGGTTCACTGCCAAATAGCACTGTAAGTAATGTATCTCGAAACGAATTACAGATTCTAAGGCGTCGTCTATCACTGAATATGGGGGCCTTCAACGTGAAGACCCTGATGCAGCTTGGGCTAACAAGCTTGTCTGGTGCGTACAATGGAATCCTTAGGAATCGATATTTGCTGCATGTCGGAGACTTGTACCCAAGATCCTACTACTATAAGCCACTTGAGCGCGCCAGATTTGCCTTCGAGATATGTTCTTCGCACTTCAGGCGACGACGAAGCCCGCTCAGTGGGTCAGCACAGGGTAGGTATTGTACTCAGCAACATGGCGGTGTCCTCTCTTACCAATTGGATCCTCGTCAACAGTCGTTTGTGGGCAGTGCGTCTCCAGGGTTCAGCGTCCGGAAGGGAAGCAACACCAAAAGGTGTTTGTTCATCGTATCTTCATATGCACCGACCAATTGCAGTTCTGATACCCAAAAGGACGCTTTCTACGATCTCATTCGGATGAGTCGAGGCTCCGACGTAGTTGTACTTGCAGGTGACTTCAATGCGCGCGGGCTGGAAAACTGAGCGCATCAGAAGCTTGCCTAGGCGGTAGTTGTGCTCTGCCCTGCCAACGAACAGATAACGGCGATCGACTTCTTCAGTTCTGCGCAGACAATCATCTGTTCCTATCAAGCACCAACTTCCGACACAGCTCTCGATGGACGGCAACGTGGCGCTCCAGTTCAACTGGTACGCTAACTCAAATCGACCATATAGCAGTGAGTTACCGTTGGCGTGGCTCAGTGCAAAATTTCAGGTCTTATTGGACCACCTTCGTTAAGTCTGACCACGCTTTAGTTTTGCTGCAGTTCACTCTTCGGTTGACTGGTCGACAACAAAACCAGCAAACTCGGATAGCTCACCATCGACTATCTGTTCCAGCCGTTCGTGCACTCTAAGAGTCAAAACTCGTGCGTGAGCTAAGCGCCCCTCAACGTAATAATTTAAATGAGTAGTGGGTTCAGATTAAGCGAGCAACGCATTCCACTGCGAATGTCGCTTGTGGGACTGAGCCTCAAGCCCAATAGAGGCATTAGATATCTGATGAGTCTGTAACACTGATGATTCAAAAGCGACAAATCCCGACCTGCCAGGATCAAAACAAAGTTAGGTGGTGGTAAAACGAAGTGAGAGAATTGGACAATGGTCCGATGAGCCAAATGGAGAAAGGGAAGTGATGTTGGAGAAAGAAGAGAGAATGGATGTGAGAATGAGGTTAGGGGTGTGGATGCAGTCATCAATACGATCAGGGATGCGCGTGGGGCGGTCAACTAGTTTACTTAGGTTGTTGACCATGGCAAAAGCCTCGGTTTCGCGTCCCATGAAGGTAGTGTCTGAGGGGTGCTTCAGCCATTCCTTGCTGTGGACATTGAAATCTCCGACAATCGTAATTTGGCTGTTAGAATCTGCCGACATTAGTGTCTCAATGTTGGAAGACAGGATATCAAAACAGAAGAATCGCTGCTGTTCGGGGAGCGGTAAATAGTAAATAAATAGTGGTTGAAAAGAGGGAATAGAGGTTCCGGCCACATAAGCTGAAATTCGCGGTTAGAGAAGTCTAAGTGCGAAAATCGGGAAGAACCGACGGAATGATGGATATAGGCGCAGACGCCAGCTTTAGAAAGAAAAGAAGGATAGAGGAAGTAATTAGAGAACTGAAGATGAGTAGTGTCTGACGAGGGGAGGTTTGTGTCTCCATCAAAAATAAAGTCAAGGGCGAAGAAGATTGAAGAAAGTGGTGTACAGAATTAACGTTTCGATTTCAACTACGAATGTTGGTGAGGGCTATGAAGTGTTGTGAATTTGTGAGTAGACTGCGCATTACTTGATTTCTGTAGGTTGTATTGATCATATATGATGTGAGAGAAGACCGGCAACCCAACCCTGAGACTTGGAATAGTAAACCACATAAGGCCTCAATAGGTTGAGCGTGGTAGTGAGCCGGGCGACAGCAGGGCTGCCCACCACTGAGTGACGATACAACTTTTTGAGGATCGACACACTTCCCAGTTATTCCATTCCTCAACAAATAGTTCCGTAGTGCCGTCGCATTGACAAAGTCGAAGGCCGCGCAGATGTCTAAGAATACAATGATCGTTGGTCTTTGATAGGCATGATTAACTAGCGCGTTTTGGAATACAGTTAGACAAGTTGGTTTGGACAGCTTATCACAGTCTAACCGTCGTGTTGTGCGTTTGTAACACCCACCGAAGCACATGGACAGCTTGGCGCATAGTAATGCGTGGTCGGATTCGATGGGAGTGCTCCAATACGATCGTCAGTCTTAAATGCAGCCCCGCCATTTTTGGCTTATCACGATTTGGTCGATCTGTGTCCGTCATTGACTCGAGGAGGGCGGACGCCAGTTGGCGTACCGGCAGTTGGAGCGTCTGAAGTTCATACTGGTGGGGATCAGGCGGTGGTCGGAACATAGAGCCAACAGCCGTTCCCCGTTTCCCAAGCGACAGGAATCTAGTCCGAAAGGACCTCCCAGGTGCGCCTCATTCGAAGACAACCGAATTACTCTGTCATTCATGTCTGCTAAAATCATGATAGCCCAACTCGCTTTACGCAAGAAGTCATGTAGATTGTGGTAAAATTAATCTTTGACTGCATCTGGGCTGCAGTCCGTTGGGGTGTACGCCGACAAACAAGTTTCGTCTACCGTGGCGACGGCTGCTTATCTTGCACGAACCTGAGTCTCACTGCGCACAACCTACTGTCGACTGGGATCCAATGCAGGAGCGCGGCTTCAGGTCTCTCACTGAGAGCCACAACAACGCCAGCCTCAGGTCCCTCAGAGAGGCGTAAGTGAAACTTCACAGATTGGTTAGATGGGGACGTCAATCGGATAATAGAGCTGGAGTCTTGAATGCGAGTTTCTTGGATGCAACACACATCGATGGCTAGGGTTTCGAGCGTACGAGCTAAACACGCCTGTTGCCATATACGCATCAGAGTACGCACATTAAAAGTGGCTAGTTTGGAAAGACATCGAGGGCGAAGAAGGGTTGCGGCTCAACCGAATGATTTCGGCAAGTTTGTCGTAAAATTCGTCCTTTTGTGAAGTGGGACTGCAGTTGGTTGATGCATATGCGGAAATGAACAAACACCTTTTGGTGTTGCCGCCCTTCCGAACAGTAACTGAACCCTGGAGTCTCATTGGGCGCAAACGACTATTGACGGGTATCCAATCCATCGCTGAGGCTTCAGCTTTATCGTTTAGTACGATCCCTACATCACGTTGAAGTTAGATGAAGTATGCAGATTTTGCAACCTAGGCATCTACATCTCACTCGGCGGTTAAAGTGTCGTTCCACATGCAGTTTTAGTTTCTGTTTGTATAATTATGAACCATACACTTCCGTGCGTCGGTTTTTGTTTCCATCTTTGGGATTAAGCAGTATGGGGAAGGCAGGAAAGTTGAAAGTAGAGTCGAGGAGAAAATGGAGAATTTCGGTGGATTAAGGTTGCAAATATGTCGAGATGCCCAAACGCCACTGCTTACGACACTGATCCGGAAGGCTTGGTTGGCATTTTCCAAATTGAGACATTTGTGGGGTTGTCGCAACATCCGGCTGTCTATGAAGGGTTGCGTGTATGCTACAACAGTTTCACCAGTTCTGCTTTACGGTGCAGAGACTTGGCCATTATGAAAATAGGATAAAGATAGACTGTTCAAATTGTTGTTTGGCAGATTTGAAGTTTGTATGTCGATTGTTTGAACACAGCTGTCTATGTCGCACTGTACGAGTCTGGTGGGAAAAGCGGACAAGCAATGCCAAGGTTAGGTGCAGAGTTTTAGGCATTCGTGGTCGTCCATTGGAACAAGTGATCGATCTCCGTTGATTATGTTAGTTGGGGCATGTTACGCATGCCACCAAATAGGTTGCCACGGCGCGCGAAGTTTGTCGAGGCTGGTAGTGGGTGGGAAAAAGTCAAATGTGGTCAAAATAACACCTGGCATGGGTGTATGAAAACTCTAACCAGGAGATTCGGTAACATAGGTCTTGTTATGCACCCCCGGCTAGGGACCTCGGGATGATCATATTCGGTGGTTAAAGACAGTGATTTAGCTGTGTCATAAACAATGGCATTCGTGCATAATCCCTATTTTTTTCAACCTTAGTCCACTGAAATCTTCATTTTCTCTTCGATTCTACCTTTAACTTTCTCTTCTCCCACTGTTAATCCAAATGGGCAGCCAACATACGGCGAACAAAAATCGCCTCATGAAAATGCATGGTTAATAGTTGTGTAAGCTCCGCTAAGAAGTCAACTTATCTATCAAAACAACAGAGTGATTGATTAATCGGTTCCCATCTCTGAAATGAACCGCATGGATTGTTTTGGATATACTGGAGGAGCGAATCTCATCAATGTGTTTAGCGCCGTCCACGAATTGACGCATTATACCGTTACTAAATGACTGAAATTCAAATCCGAAATACAATTTTATGCCAGCTATATTGTTCATTCCTGAGTCGTTAAGGTTGCATTCTATCACCTGATGGCATCATTCACTCTAAGCACGCGGTAAAAGCATTTCACATTCTTCATTCACCTTATTCGGAGCAAAATCAACTTTATCAAGGGAAAGTTAGAACACATAAGAGCTGAATACATTGATGGCGCAGGGCATGGTCATACCGAATTTTAAAATAAAACCACAGTGGCGAACAAATTCGTTTTCAATAATTCGTATTGATGCCAAAGCATTACTACTTACGATTGTCTGAACGGATTCGTGAACACCGGCAAGATTAAGTCGCTCACCAGTGCAGTAGTTTTACACCTAACTAAAACAAATTACACCGAACGTGATCGAGGCTTTTTGCTCCATATATAATGTTCGTGTGCAAGTACCAAGACAGGTTCGCTGTCAAAGGCTAATCACAGCAGATGCGGCGGGAATTCGTTTGCACAACCCCCCTATGTACACCATTAGGCCCTGGATGGGAACCCCGAGGTCATGGTAACCGGTGATTAGATAAACTGAGTGGCATGACAGTGTTGCAGACAGTGGCGTTCGTGCATCTACTCATTATGCTTGCAACCGCAGTCTATAAATTCTCTCTTCCCTTTGACTCTGCTCTCGACATTCCAATCTTTCTGCTATTTTATTCAAACGGGTGGTCAAAAGACAACAATCAGAACCGGCGTACGACAGTACATTGTTAATGGTTGTAAAAACTGAAACCTATATGCCCAAAAAAATTGCAGGATTTTAGTCTTCTTTGATCCCCCTCCACTCACGCCGTATCATGAGTATTCTCAATAATCAGATGAGTGAACAAACAACTACGTGATGACTTTCAGTCCGATTTTCGGTCTTATGATGAAATCAATTCAATTTGTGATTCGATTGGTTTTCGTTTTATTTTCCCAAGTAGTGATGTATATTGTAATGTATTCACATCATCACGAATAACTGAAAACGACCCTGTTGCTTTGTTTGAAGTGTGCTCTGTGGGACTATTCATACCGAACTTTTTCCACCGCCGGAAAATTAAGATGCACTAAAATCATTTTGTTCACTATGATTGCTCTGGCCGAATCGAGCTGCATGTTGGTTTTGTAAACAAAATAACCCCAATCGACTAATTCATCTTTCGTGGTAAGAGTTTTCAAATCTACGTGGTTGTAATCAATTCGAAATAACAAGGATTAGGGACCGTTGTCCATGCACCATCATTCCCATAGATTTTCCCCGTCGTTTGACATGGCGTACTTAACACCACCTCAGAAATTAACTTCAACTTCAACTTTGTATAACCTCACTGGCATATGCAATCGTATTTTTTCTGATTTATTACAATTTATATATATATATATTGCTTCGTTTNGCTTCGTTTTTTTAATCCTCTCACTTCACCTAGATCCGTCTCTAAAAGGATGTGGCTCGAGTTATCCACGAAATTGGAACCAGATTCCTTCAAAACCCTTGGACGATATCAAAACACTTGATTTCACGGAGGACACGTTAATGAAAAAGACTCAGCCGGAATATTGGTGGCGTCGAAACCTGTCTACAGCGGACTGTTTTAGAAACATGTGCCTTAAAGATCGCAGTATTGCTGATGTACGAAATGAACTTACTGAATATCAGATCATTCGAGAACTACTTTGGTCTCTTCTTGGAGGGCGTGCTTCATACATTTTTCGCACACTTAGCGACCCAGACAAACTTCTCAGTAATCGCTTTCTGCCTACCGACCGAGTCAGCTCAGCAACAATTTCCGTTGAGTCCTTGGACTCCTTTTTATCCCATTTTGCTCGTTCAGCGAGTCATGGATTGGTTCTTCGAACCTTAATAGATTTCGTATTTCACGGTGATTCTAACTCATTTCATCCATGTGTTCTGGCTTTTGCCGCCGGACTTAGCACCTACTTGGGTCAGTTGGATCAGTTTTTGAATGATTTACTGCGCCAATCTCGTGGCCCTTGTAGTTTCACTTTAGTAAACTTATATACGTGTTATTTACCTTGGGGTCGACGCACCGGTATACTGGCAGGACTTGTCATGCAGGCTACTACAGGTCGCCTGAATCATTTACTCCACCCAACTGTCCATATCCAAATACTGGATGTTCTGTATTATGCCATCACCACATGCAGTGTGTGTACGGAAGATGAAATCTTTCTCGGTTTATTGCAGTCTCTTTTCTTGCAATCTTTTCATCCCTTTCTCCAAACGACTGTCCATCTTCTTTCCGGTGCAGCTTCCGTACCAGAGTATTTGTATAGCTTGTTTGCTGACCCCGAGGCCCAGCTGGAGCCGACTAATCCAGACTACTGGTCCCAAGCTTTCACTTGGCACGAGACCGAATACCAGTCGGACTTCAAACGTATCCCTCATTTGTTTCATTCTGTGCTGCCTCAGCTAGTACGCAGTCTGAAGGCGCTGTGCATGTTGATTGCTCTGGTTAATCACACGGGTGAAAAACATTTCCTGAGCGAAATTCTAATGGATCCAATGGACATCATGATTTTACTACATATACCATCAGGTGAAGTTCCGAAAGCTTCTATCAGTACACAACTGTTCGATACCGATAATTCCGCACTCCATGTCCTCTCCAACAGCCCTGATAACGGTGATGATGATGATGATTTTTCCGCTTTTCGCCGTGAGCTTATTCATTCAGTGACCCATATGGAACTACCAATTCATCACGAAACAAAAACCTTTGGTGCTTACGATGCTGAGCTAATGGATTCGCTTAAAAATAGTTTACACACATTCATCCGTTCACGGTGTTCTGACGTCAATCGTTGTTTGGTATCAATGCTCCTCTCATCCCCACGTGTCCCAAGCCCAACCTTTCAGAATTTAGGTACCGCACTAGCCGCTGTCAGTTCAGTTTATCTATTTGGTGCTGGTGATAGACTAAATGATTTTGCCCGAGATCTTTTCCAACACATTCGATTATTGGCACCTTGGTATCGGGATCATGTGGGGTTGACATTGCAACTGAGGAACCAACTGGAACAGAAGACAGCACCGGAATTCCTGCGCTCTATGCGCAATGCATTCGCATTTCACCAAACACCGGAATCGTTGATCATTCATACGGATGGAACTACACAACTTGTATCGGATCAGTTTCAACGGATATGTTTATGTTTTAATGCCGAGTGGCCGGCTACCATCGTATTAACTGAGGAAGTTTTGAATACCTACAACGGTATCTTTATTTTCTTACTTCAAGTAAGCCTTGCAGTGACGTCCCGGCTTTTCGACGCATTTTTGTTTCTTTGTTCAAATCCTTCCCTTCCGTGCGTGTTAATTCGAGCAGTTATACTCAATTGTTAGTTGAAAGCTTAGTTTTTGGCTTTATTATTTCCTCCATCCTACAGAGGTTCAGTAACTAGAATAAAATCAACATCTCCAGGACCGGAGACTAATTGTTTTCAACAGAGTCGGTGAAAACTAATTCTATTCCATTATTTAGTTTTTCAGGTTTTGTTTTTCTCGGTAAGATGCTGTTGTTTATTTGTTCCACATCCACATGCAGAATATGCGTAACAAATGGTCCGTTTGAGGTATCGACAAAATCTTTTTTACCGTTTTTTGAAATTGTGTGAGCCACAAAATCCCGGTGATATCAGTAAACGCATACTACGTGTCGTACGTTGACGAAACGAAACCCGAAAGCTGATTTAAGCACTTTGTGTTATTAGGTTCAATAATACGGGTAAGTCTTAGGTATCCCGTGAAGGAATCTTACAGGGATCGTTGAGCGATAGCTCACTTAGACGACAGTCGACGTCAAGTTTTTAGGTCAGAACAACTCATGCCCAGCGNGATCGTTTCATGCTGTTCGGTTTCGCGCAGTCGTCCTCGTTGATAAATTCCTCAGAATGACAAAACAGAGTGTTAAAAGACGAAGACTATATTGCTGTTGAATTTTACTCTTCAATCCATTTCACACAACCATTACTTCCCAATCTCCGCGCTTGAGTCTTTCGCCAGACCAATCGGTCTTCGAAATTGGCTCATTCGTAAAATGGTCCACCAGTTCAGCTTAATGGCATTGGACTGGTTAACGTCATCTAAACAGGTACCTTCTCTCAATGAACAGAGATGGTGTCAACTAGTACCTGTTTTTTCGTTCCCTCGCACTGCATCTTATAGATTCTTACTACTTTGTGAGATACCAAACGGCGCTATTTGTATTCGTTGTCACAGGCATCCGTGCGTCTACTCACGTCCACGTAATCTCCCTCGTTCCCTGGGATCCGCATGATAAGTGTCCGTTTCCAATCCGTTATTTATTTACTTGCCATTTTATAGGTGGTGGACGGTTCTGTCGTCGTCCGGGTCGGTACCACCGCCTAGCCATCGGGGCCTTATGTGGTTTGCCACTCCAAGTTCCAAGGCTAGGTTGCCGGTTAGCTCTCATCTCAATATGAACACTTTAACCAACAGGATCAGTTCTCAAGCGCACTCACCAACATTCGCTGCCTAAACCATAATATTGATTCTGTACACCAATTTCTTCAGTCCACTTCCCTTCTTGCTCTTTTTTAGCCAAAACACATCTTTCCGCTTCTGCGGACACCACGCATCTTCAGTTTCCCAATTATTTCGTTTACACTTCGTTCATTCCCNGTGGCTGAAACTTCGGTTCTCTTCTTTCAATCACTACTTGTGCACTGTGCACCGTTCCCCAAAGAGTAGTTACCCTTCACTCTGATGTTTTATCGACAAACATAGATAGCATTGTTGAAGCAGATCCCAACGCTCAGTTCACAATTTTGGGTGATTTTAATGTCCACAACAGGGATTGGCTGTTACACTCATCAGGGACATCGCCCCTTGAACATGAAGCAGAATCATTTGCCCTATTGAACAGCCTCCACCAACTGGTTGATTTCCAGACCCGTATCCTCTACCGTGCTGGCTACCACACTCATACCCTCGATCTTGTCCTCACACCCAACCAACAGTTATTTTCAAATTTTGCTGCAATTCCTCCCCTAGGCCATCAGACCATTGTCTTATTTTGCTCTCCACCCAAATCGTTTGTTCCAATATTCCTCGCAATTCGAGACGCACATTCTGGCGATATTGTTCCGCTGATTGGTACAGCTCTCGTAACTTTCTGGCTTCCTACCCCTGGAATGAATGTTGTTTTTCCGCCTATGTCTCCATCTCGGCATCCAATTTCTCCAAAGTAATTTTTCAAGGCACGCACCTATTTATTCCTCATTTCACCAAACCCGGCAAGCCTCTTTCTCCAGAATGGCTCAACCACGTCTGTTGTTGCGCTGTTCGTAAAAAGAAATCAGCGTTCGGCCGCTGGCGTCGGTCACTTTCCCCCAACCCCCTGCCGATGGTTTTTGTTAGTACGTAACAAATGTACAACCATCACACAAAAGGCTAAGGAGCACTTTGTTGAGCGTAAAGCAGCACAACTGGTGGCCGCTCTTTCTAGAAGCCGGACGTTCTGGTCACTCGCTATGACAGTCTCCCGTAACTTCAGTTCCACTAACTTCCCACCCGTTGCTAAACCATCTGGTGACTTGGTATCCGACCCGTTGGAAAAAACAAGTGTTTGCTTCCAGTTCTACCCTTCTCGAATCACTCCACACACCCTACGGCAAACCATCTTTTCACACCGCTCATTTCTACCAGAAAGATGCGTCAGATCCTCTTGTTGTTAGACCCACACAAGCTACCTGGACTGGACAGCAACCAAAAGCGGCGCACGATAGTGCATGGTTAATGGTTGTACAAACTGAAAACATGGACCCGACGGGATTCCTCCCATTGTCCTCAAAATCTGCGCCCCAGAACTGGCTCCCCTCCTACGTCGCTTATTCTGTCTATCTCTCAATTCCAAGATATTCCCAATCCCATTGAAAATATCAAAACATTTTCCATCCCCAAACGCGGCGATCACTCTGACCCAAACAACTACCGCCTCATCTCTCTCACACCAGTCATTTCAAAGGTGATGGAATCAGTTGTTGCTGATCAACTCCGCTATCACCAGGAGCAGAACAATACACTTAGCGACCACCAGTACGGTTTCCGATCCCATCGATCTGCCGATAATTTTCTGACGCTGATTTCGCCTACATTGTCAACGGTACTCGATAAACACGGGAAACCTATGCGATGTCATTGACTGTCGGAAGCTTTCGATCGTGTCTGACACGTCGGTTTGCCGGTTAAACTACCTAAGTTTGGTTTTCCTTCGGAAATTGTGTCCTGGACAGCAAGCTATCCCAAGGACCGCAGCATCTTCGTCAGAGCAGATGGGACAATTTCTCGTTCCGTGCCTGTGAATACTGGTGTTCCTCAAGGTTCTGTACTTTCCCTTTTCTGATGTTTATTGATGACCTTCTTTCTTTAACTTCGAATCCTATTCATGCCTTCGCCGATGATGCTACTCTACACTCTTGTTTGTCCTATTCCTCTTCGCGGATCGCTAACTCCAGCATTAGGGACGACCGCTCCTCCCTTAGTTTCTCCCTAAATTCTGATCTGGGCCTTATATCTGCTTGGGGCTTTAGCAACCGTGTTCTGTTCAATGTCAATAAAACTGCCCTTGTGTCAATTTCTCTTAAACACGCATCTTCAATAAAAAAGCTTATGGATAAGACAAACTAAAATAAATGCACTACTATCCGGCTGATCGGGATTGCGAATGGAATCACTTTCAACAACCATTGTTCACGAATGATTGACTATAAGACCACGAATACCACAGCTTGAAACTCAGAGTACTATGCGTAGCATTTTTAATCTTTTTATGACACCACCGTAACAGTTTTATGGTTATTTTGCGAATGTTTTCTAGTCCCTTGACGTGTATCTCAAGACGGTTGCTTTTCAGTTTTGTGTTAGTACAGTTTCATTATGAGGATCGTCCGAGTTAAAACATTCTCCCACATTCCCCCTATTTTCTTTGCAAGATCAAATACATCAAGTGGAGCCTCGAATCACTGCGGTTTTTCGAAATTCAGTGGCTTTTCAAACTGGATGCGGTAACTTACCATCGATTATTGCTGCTTCGTTCAAGTATGATATTCGTTTTCGCTGGATTACATGACTTTCTTGTGCATCGCGTCGAGGGATTTCGCATGCACTTTATCCAGTATTGGAATCTGCCGGATGTCATGCAAACTGATCCGATTTTCGATCATCGCATTGATCGACCGGGCGATTTATCCCATCTTATAGATACACACCACTCTATGCTTACAGGGCTCAAAGCAACCTGTTTATTGACATCCTCATCAGCTATTCTGCGCCGGGAACTGGAAACAGTGCTTCAGTTGGCTCTGGTTTTACAATCTCTTTGGTCACTTAGTACTCAAGTTTCTGCACGTCCATCGGAAATAGGTGATCGACTGACTCAACTCTCGGACACCTTCCACAATCATGTCAATTTTCTGTCTAGCATGCTGTCCAAATCGGTTCGACTAAGCAACATGAAGAAACTGTTCCCTCTATCCGAGACGTTTCGCATTGCTGCTTCTTTTCACATATGAGCACTTCTTGCTGCTCAATGGCTGTGATTGATTACTTCAATACATATTATTTTGTTAGCCCTCGTCTTCTGGAAAGTTATCACCAATTGTGTTGCAATTGCTCCGTCCGCATAGTCATTGTCACGTTTTCATTTCAGTATCCTTGCTCACAGATTTGGCCCTCCTAATGTCCTCACCCGTTGAGCGAGTACCCCTCGGTGAGTGCCCCGTGGCGTCCACACCATTTCGCACACCCGGTCAGAATGATTCAGTCACCGTGATTAAATCATCCAGTCCAAATCAAGATGACTCCCTAGCACCATTGTCCCAATTACGTACGACGCATAAAAAACCCAGCAAGTCTGTGCGTCACAGCCTTGGTCACGTAACGCTGCGTACAGGTACTCCTCAGCGCCTTGTCTGGACCACTCAGCGCACCAGTCGGCTTTTCGATCTGCTCACCAGACCGGCTCTCCTTTTCACGCCGAGTTTGGGAATTCGTTTGGTATTTGATCACTTCGCTCAAGATTCTTCGGAGCGGCGTTCCGGTCGCTTGTCAATCAAGAAACGAAACTTACCCATCGACCCGGATCCGTGTCTATTGTCCGTGGACGGTTTGGTGGATTGCTTGTTTGCGATCGGGAATCTCGTTGACCAGGTGTACTACGACTGCGTAGACGGAGCATCTCCGGATCAAGATGATGACTTTGAGCGTTCTCCGACAATTTTGGCTGCAAGCTATTTTCGCAAACGACGTAAGTATGATTACGCTTTACTTTAGCAGCACAAGATGTGTATTCTTATCGAGGATGATGCAACTCGAGTAATGTTTGCACTTTCAATAATTGGCGATGTGCACCATTGATCAACCAAAATTATTTTGACTATGTGCTTTCTATTGTTCATTTCGCTCAAGTAAACAACACAAAAGTATGACCTTAATCAATGCATCTAACTGTCGCTATCCGGATATTCCACAGTCAAACCGGCCTTATCCCGTCTGAGTGAGCTCCGCCTTCGTTTGTCGGATTTCAAGCTGGGTGAATGTATTGGTCGGGGTGCATGTGGCATTGTGCGCGTCGTGCGTGAAGCCGCCCCGCCTCACTCCGTGTATGCAATGAAATCGCAGTACAAAGGTGCTTGGCTTCATCATGATCCAGTGAGTGTTTTCCTCGTTCTAAGAATCTTACTATATAACTATCAGCTTGTTGTTATTTATTACTGAGAGGCGATCAACCAGAACACACTACGATTGTTGCCGAAGATGACGCAAATTTGCTTACTCTCGCGGGGTTCGAAAAAAAATGCGTTTTGTCTCTGGAGCAGCCTATAATCTTTCGCTCCATACAGCCGTTTCCTGCAAGCCCGAAAGAGATGTTAATTGATCATCCAAAAGAACAGATAACATTTTGTCTGGAAAACACAGAACAACTAGTATCGACCCTGTTTCTCGATACGTATTTCTTCTCTACCCGTCTTATACGATGGCCATATTTTCGAGACAATGATAAACGCTGGAATTTCGCGTTTCTGTTCGCTCCCAAACTGACTGATCTTTTGAAACCTCTCTTCTCCCTCTCTGAGCCCTGGGATTTTTTTCTACCCCATAATCTCCCAATCTCTAAAGGGGCCAGCGCACCAAACTCCAAATACCTATCGCTCCATCTCACACCTTTTTTTCTGTTCCACCTTTTCGTAGCGAGATTAAACCAAACTTTTCTCTTCAACAATTGGTAAAAATGCACACAAACGATATAGAGTGAAAATGATAATATTTTTCCTTTGCTGCACCCTGGCAATTGTATACAATGGCGTTATTTAGTGGAGGACAGAAATGTTACACGAGACGCCGGCAGTCACAACATTTTCGAGTGCTTATTGCGAATTGTAAACAAGTGTTACATACCATTGTGGGGCGCCGTGACGATGATAGTTAAAATGAGTTTCATGTAACTTGTTCGTGAAGCAATGCAACTGGATAATGAAAACGCTCCTGTTTGCCCATAGGTCTGGGTTCACGAACGGGTGCAAGTGGTTTGCAATCGCTAGTCCATGGATGTGGGTGTGTCCGTGCTTAGGTGGATTAGTGCACGTGAGACAAAACCTGAACGTCAAGTCACACGAGAGCAGCAAATTAATAAGCCGATCAGACAATGCTATGGATTAGGTGACCTGAGAAAGAATTTGGATAATGACTGCAAGATGGCGTAATAAGGGATCAGTGGTTCCAGCGGGCGGATGGAGGTTGCTGGATGCGTGCTCACGGTAAAGATGATTGGAGGGTGAAGATTACCCCTACGTTAAGATCAGTAATCGTCATTTGGTTGTGCACCTTGAATCGGATTTACCCTACTTGTGGCCATGACTTACGCGAAAGGTATCAACTGGGTTCACGATGACCAGTTGCCTTCATGTGTTTTGGAATGAAACTCTGCTCCCTTCTTATCCCCTTTCCCAGTAATCATTTTTGGTTTTACTCTGAGATTCGAGTTCTCAGTGATTAATTACACTTAATATTCTCATAATCGAACCCTTCATCCGTATACAATGTTCATGATTCGCTTGAATTAATTTGCGAAAGACCCGCCAGTGCAACAAAGCATATTACGTAGATTATTGACGCTTTTCAGTCTGGTCAGCAACCATCGGTATACTCGCGTGTTCGATCCATACGTTTCATATTCCGCAATCTCTCGTTTACCTGATACATATGCTGAGACAAAAATCAGCTTTGGTGATGTGCGATAAGGCCTGTTACTGCCAACAGGATTGGAGATAACTCTCGCACTTTGTTAGTTAATTCACAGGAACATACTTTTGACGCGTTGTACTCTAACCGACGTGTCCATACGACGTATAAAGCACGATCGTGCATTTTCACTTGAAGCGCAAAGGATATATTGTTGGTCAAAATGAGAATCCCTGTTTATCGGAACAAAACTGACAGTTCATCTAATCACCCCGACCTATGCTCACGCTTACCGAAGTAGATGACCTGGTTTCGCGCTTCTTCATGCACATTAACTACATACCGTTATCTCTGGCGTGGAACGCGTAGAGGGTTACTATTTTGGATCGACGTATCAAGGTTTTATTATTGTAATCCTGGAAGACAGGTTGGTGTCCATTCTAGGAGCTGCATCAAATGTTCGAACAACCTTATTAGGTACTTCGAACCGCTCATGGTTTCGTCGATAACAATCAGCCCACTTGCCGTAAAATCCGACGGCTCCGTACGCCGTACCAGTACCTCCGGCATCTTGCAATATCATTCTGTTCCTCTCATTTATGTACCTATGCCGTTTCGCTTGGCAGATGTTGTCCTTTCATCTGTAATCCGTACTTGAAGTTTTGCGGCATCACCACATAATGTTACCCCTTTGTGTTCCTAGCCAGTTACGCAAATGCACGCCTTTCCAAAGTACTCATTCATTCAAGAAATATTTACTGGTCGGTTATCAGATTACACCTCTTTCTGCTTTGGCAGTTGTGAGTATAGGTCGAGGTAGTTGGACGAACTTGTGTGCTTAGTTCTGGTGAAGAGGGATTCTCGTTTTTTAACCCTCTGTGTAATGACTGCTCTTCATTCATTTGTTGCCGTTCCTCTTCGGAATGTTCTTTTCGTTAAGTTGGTGAATTTTAGCCGCCCGATGTTAGTGTAGAACTACATTAGCTTCCCTTAATGTCCATAGATGCTGACTCTATCCGTAAACAGGATCTGTTTCAAACGTTAGTTTTTATCCCCAGATCTGCATCCGACATGGCTACTTAACTCAATACAGTGCATTGTTAGAAGCGGTGCGTTTCTTCAATTTCTGTTAGTATTTTTTGTCATAATTTCATTGTTTTAACTTCTCTTGAACCTACAGGAAGGTTCTCAGATCATGCTTGAAAGAACAGTGTTGGCTCAAGCGACGGCCATTGAAAATCCTTGGCTCCCTCATCTACATTACGCATTTCAAGACGAAAAGCAACTCCATTTGGTAATGGACTACGAGCCGGGAGGTGATCTGTACATATTCTTGAGCAAGTGAGTTATTATTTTGTTCTCTACAACCATTTAAATGGGATTACGACTGCCCTGAGTCACATCTGTTGTCTTGGTTGCTATTCCGTCGCACTTTACTCGCTCCATGTTACCATGGTGCTGGTGTAAACAACCCGTAGTTGTCAATAGTAACAGCTGCTCCATGGTGCAGTAGACCCCATCCGAGAATCTACGTTGTACGCTCGACTGCAACACCTGCATGAATACCTCGCGGTCGACACACCCCAAGCGCACGTGCTTTGTTCCGCTCATAGTAGTTTGTTTTTCTTTGCGAAGGTACTTGTGATTTTTGGGAGCAAGATTCGCAATTCCTATTATGAAAGTGGAATCATCACTAAAACAGCGTCAATCTATTAAAATATAAATAGTAGTCATGTACTTGGAATGCTAAAATTACTGCTTGACTAGCCGCTTTTGACTGCAAGCTACACTATAAAATGATAACACATGATTTCACCCCAAATGCAATCGAAGTAAAAGTCCTACTTTGGACAGAACTGCAGCATTTAAGCGTAGAGTAAATCCGCATTTTATTCAATGGAAGATTTGTGTAGACAGAAGTAAACCGATCAGATGCAAACAGGAAGATTTAGATCGATTTGGAAGGCGACGAATTTGAGAATGGTCCTCACAAGTTCAGAGAGTCTGTAGGACGAAGGTAGTTTGAGTCAATGATTAGTAGTAAAGATACTTATTTTAAATAGAACAAGGAGCGGCTAACAAGCTCGTTTTCAGTGATTCGTAGTCATGCCAATACATCACAATAAATATCACTCTTTCTATGTATGTAGCAATATTCAAACATGAAAAAAACAATCAATTGTTTTGGGAAAGGGAAAATAACATCATAGGTTAACTGGGGCTAATTTTGTCTTAGGGCCGGACGTGGGATTCTCAATGATCATCCGAGCGTTGGAACCACTCGGGAGATAGGATGTGTGGGGGGGTGGGCCAAGGAAGCTTAAGCGCCTGAACAAATTGTTTTGGGACACAGAGGAGGGGGGGTTGTGCAGCCGAATTCCTACCGCTTCCGCTGTGGCCAGCATATGACATCGAACATGCCTTGATACTCGACCACGAATCCGATACAGGGGACGGAATGCCTCGGTCACATTCACAGTGTGATTTGTATCAACTAGGTGTAAAACCACTGCACTAGTGAGTGACCTGATCGTTCCTGTATTCAGCCATGCGGGGTGGTGTTCACGGATTCGTTCGGACAAACGCCTGACCGAGTGGCCTATGCACGTTGTTCCACAAAAAACGTAAATAAGTACACACAAAATGAGACGGCATTGTGTCTTTTAGTCGTAAACACATAATTGGCTGGGACGTAAACAAAACATTGAGTTTTGCTACGTATAAGGTTTTACTATCAGCATCGGATAGTCTCCTTTGTATTATCTCTGCTGACGTGTCCCTCTTGAACGGCAAGGCAACGTATACCGACTTCTTTCTGACCTCGATCTTCTTCACAGTTATTATTATATTATATTTCACACTTGTCTAAGGACAGACTGTGTGCCAAGAAAATCACGGTACAATAATCTTTGTAAAAAGGAAAATGTTCCATGATTGGCTTGTGGGCTGAATACTGCACTGAATCATCTCACTAACCAGTCTTTCCGGATAGCCATTGTGTGTGAAGATAGCGCGGTAGAATCGGAGCTCTTCTATCGTTTCCCCACTACAAATTTTCTGCTAGGCAGCGTACCAAATTTCTCTTCACTTTGAGTGGTACAAAGCTGCGAAAATAAATATATTGGCCCTTCCAAGTCGCCTTCCTATGCACCGAGCCATCCGATCTACGACTCAGACAAACGTCTTGAAATACCAGTTTGTTGTCGTTTTCCATTTCTAAGGTGAATCTTATGTTCTGGTGAGAATCATTGGATTTACTCAATAGCTCATTTGTTCCTGATGTTGTGTTGATCTATTTTATCTATTGCGCACACACTCGAAGCCAGACTGTGTCCAACAATTAACGGTGAAATAATCATTGTAAAAAGAAAAACGGTACATGATTTACTTCTGAGCGATTGACCAGGCCAGGTCGGTTTTATTGAGGAATTCACAACCGGAGCTTTCGGCTAGACAACATCTGACCCGAAAGGCAGCGGAGTGGTGTGTGAAAACTAATCCATTGGAGCCCGGCATCCAGTTCATCGGATCATACGCTTTCTGGGCTGGGTCAAAATTTCAAGGTGCCCAAAAGACCTTGATGTCGAGTCGAATGGCAACTACTACCACGACCTGTGCTCTCCTTTGGCTACCCATTTAGATAAAGAAACGAAGAAATACAGAACATTTGAAAGTAGAGTCGAACAAAAAAGTGGAGAATTTCAGTGGTCCAAGGTTGAGAAGAAATTGAGATGCACGAACGCCACTGTTTACGACACCCAGCCATATCACTCAGTATCTCTAACCACCGGGTACGATCATCGCGAGGTCCCTAACCAGAGAGCCTAACTGGACCTATGTGACCCAGTCCCCTGGTCAGGGTTTTCATACCCTTGTGCCAAATCATAGCTTGAACACCCTTGGCTTTTTTCCACTCGGTATCTGCTTCGGCGAACATCGCTCGCCGTGGTAACATACCTGGTGACATGCGTAACACATGTCCCAGTCAACGTAATCTACGGAGGTCGACCGTTTGCTCTAGTGGGCGACCGCGGTTACTCAAAACTCTGCGCCTGACCTCAGCATTGCTCGTTCGGCTACCCCACCAGATTCGTGCAATGCTGCGTAGACAGCGGTGTTCAAACACCGACAGTTTATCTTTGTCCTGTTTCTCTAATGGCCAAGTTTCTGCGCCGTATAGCAGAACTGCTGCGGCATACACTCGACCCTTCACAGACAACCAAATGTCGCGACGGCGCCACAGATGTCTCCAGTTGGCAAATGCCAACGGAGCCTTCTGTATGCGAGCTGACACTTCATCTGTGATGCGTCCACCATGTGAGATGCAGCTGCCCAAATAACAAAACTTTTAATCTTTTTAATTTTACTTCTTTTTATTGAATACACAATGATACAATTTTCAGGAAGAGGGAAGCTGCCATGGGGAAAGTCAGGCGGTGGTGGTGGTGGGGTTCGAACACACGTCCCCTGAGGTGGTAATTTGGTGACGTTACCACCGCCCTCTACTAATTCCCCGGTTAGAGGGAGGCTGGGTGCTGGACCAACTCAGTCTTGTAGTAACATTTTACACTTTGAAGGTGCAAAACGCATAACGCACATGGCTACGCTGGCGCTCAAGCTATCCAGAAAAGCTTGCAACTTACCTGCATCTTCGCTTAGCAGGATAATGTGGTCTCCATACTGCAGATCAGACAGTCTACCACTTGGGAGTAAATCGATGCCACTATTCTCACAGGAGGATAGGACTGTTTCCATAATCAAATCTATAACAAAGTTAAATAGAATCGGAGAGGGAGGGCAACCCAGACGAGCTCCACTTTCCGTGGTGAACTCGGGCGAAAAAGTGCTGTAAGCCCGGACTCGACTTCGACTTTTAGTATAAAGCGATTGAAATATTGAAATTAATTGCTCTGGCTCACCCTTCAGAGCGAGGCAACGCCAGATTTTGGAGCGGTCAACTGAGTCGAAAGCCGTTTTCAGAACCGGGGAGTCAGGGATGGTGGTTCTATGAAAAGAATGTCGATGCTCCAGAATTTGGCGGAGAGTGAAGATGTGGTCGATACAACTTCCACCGAGTTTAAAACCAGCATGGTTCTCACTCATGCACCGTTCATGTGCGGGAGACAATCGACGGAGTGTGATACCGGCGAGAAGTTTAGAGATAATATTGATTAAACTTATTCCTCTAGGGTTTTCACAGGAGGACCTCTAACACAGACAGGTGTAAAATCATGATCGGACAAAAAGTGACAACTGATACCATATTTTCATTATATGGCTTTCTGGCCTTCATACACGACTTTAAAGGATAAAAATTAGAGTTTTGCACATAGGTAACGTACATTAGAGTTTCCGTTCAAGTTTTTGGTTCTATTTTTTGTCTCATTTTCTCTCCCCAGTCTGTATTTGTCTCTAGGGTTCCGATTTCTACGTTACTGCTTTCTTTCCTTTGCAACACTCGATCGCGTCACTTTCAATCCTAAAGAAATGATACCGTACTGTGTAGCTGCTTGCGTTACACAGTTGCCACTTTGGCTAAAAGGCCTCGCTTGCATTCAGTACAACTGGTAGCTCTATACATAGTTTCTCTTGTAGATTACGATGCAGATCGCTTGTATGAATAAATGCATTCAGTTATATCGTTGCTATCGATGATAAAGAGCACTTACCGTTGAATCAACGGCTTCTGTCAAGTATTGTTCTCATTCCACGGGAACTAGGTAATTGATATTCCATTCAAATGTACTCAACGCAATCAATTTTTCTTTACTTAATACTTCAAAGATCGACCCTGTCTCATCGTCCCGTTAGGTGCAAATTGCAAATAGCGTTCAGTGAAAATTATTTCGGCGTATTTCGCTTTTCGACAAGGCTGCCGGCAACGGTTTCAGTTCACGTAGTTGATGCAATGCACTTGTTGTTTGTTGCCGTCTCGGCAAAGCTAAACACTTCTTGTATTCGATGCTGATATCTTGTCGCTTTGAATTCGCTCCTACCGTCCATACATGCATGTTTTTTCGCCATCTGTTCAGGGTTGGCCATCTGTTGGATGCCGAAATGATCCAGTTCTACGCAGCTGAAGCCATCGAGGCGATTCATTCTCTGCACCAAATGGGATACATTCATTGGTAAGTGATGATTTTTTCTGAGTTCATCCTTGAAGTCGTATCAAGCCTATGCATTGAGCAATTTCGCATTGGTATGCTGTTGTTACTGACATAATCAAGTAACACGGAAATTAAGGAGCGCATTACACGTAAACCGGAAATAGATGCAGGCAATAGACAGGAAGCAAAACCGCCGCATTGTAAATGGTTCTGTAAATTGAGTTGATTTTTTCGGCTTAAGAAGCAAATGTGAACTCCGATTCAACCTTAGATTTCCGCCTGCCCCATCGCACACACTCAGTGTTGCAGAAACATGGATTGTCTTCATATTTTCTACTTACACTGTAGTAAGGCAAACCAAACTGATGTATAGTACATTTGCTCTCTAAAATAGCCCCTTTCTCACATTCCCGCGAAATATTGTGAAACGTGCACTAACATACAATGCTTGCCGCCCCGTCTGCTTACTGTGATTATTATCAGAGTTGGTCAAGTGTATGCCGCAGCATTCCGGCCAGTTCTG